GGTTTCAGTTGTGAGTTCTTGATTTTCCCCTGAACTTCCTCCCCCAGAAGACTGAGCAGCAATACTTTTTTCCCTGGAGTAAATCACTTCCTACCCTACACTCTCAGTAGCAGAGTGAAGATTGAGATGTAAAGGAGTAAAGGATGCAGAAGAACTCTATTATTCAACAACAATACAATTTGCTGCTGATCTTCAGTTGCTAAGACAGGCACATCAATTATTTATAGAACTCAGAGTGTTAAATATGAAGTATTTCAGCCTGGGACAGCATGAAGGTAAAACCAGGAACGTGATCCTGTCAGAACTGCAGAATTGTAGGCAAGGACACAATATCCCGATACAGATTACCCTTTTTATTGAACTATAAATTGAAAAAGGGCCTTATGAAGTGTCACTCTTGGTGTTAAGTGATAAGCATTCTCTTTTTTTGACAGTGTCAGTCTATATTTAATGTTTATCTAAAGGGCTATTTCTACCAGGGCAACAATGCACAGTATCTTCGAAACACCCACGTTAGCAAAACATCATCTAAGTATTTACATTAAATCCACAGCCTTCTCTTTATCCCTGCTTACCTCCACCATCAGGCTGTCACAGTCCAAAACCCCACAACTTGGCCACTCTGGTGGTGCTGAGCAGACCTTGCCACACAACACAGAGCAACACTCCAGCACTGCCCAGATCAGATACCTCCTGCCAACTCACCTAGAGCAACCACCAAATGCACCTTAAGGTAACTTCCACTGACTCTGTAGAGTGGAGATGCATTCAAAATTAGCAAGCACTCCTAAAGAAAAGATTCATGCATAAAATTACTTCTCAGCTTGTAGGAGAACTATTAATATTGGAATTAGCTCTTACACTTGCAATGATGTTTTCCCTCCAATTAAACAGTAAAACCTATGACCTAGTATTGCACAATGTCCATTTTTATAACACCTTTTCCTGATAAAAAAAACCTAAGCAGATTTATAGTAATATTAAAAGTAGACATTAATCCTTCTATAGGATTACCAATTGATCAAAATCAACCATAAGTGCAAAATAGATTTTAGTTGCAGAAATTAGTATGGGATCAGTGGAAGTGGGCAGTCACCTGGATGACAAACCTGAAGAGCACGTTTCAGAGACGGCTCAGCAAGGCCTGCCTAGGGATTCCAGAGCAGATTAGGAGCAGTCTAAGGACTGCACTTTCTTCTGGTGTATTCAACATCAAGCCTGTACAGTTTAGGTGAAAGTCTGGGGCATGAAATTACATGCCTGCCTCAAGCACCCATCACAATCCAGGCAATTTTGTTTTGCATGAAGGATACAAAGGTGTAAGTGCAAGTAATGGAATGGACCAGTGCTGTGGGACACAATCCTGCCGGCACAGAGACTTCCCACTGCCCAGACTAACCACAAGGTTTCAGCTATGAAATCAGAATGTAAAGGCTTGCTTTTAACAAATGGCTGATCACTGTCTGTAATAGTCCCAGAATTTTGGAAACAAAGCATTTCCCACCGCATCTGGCCTTTTGTTTGCTCAGAAAACATTCCTCTTTCTCAAAAGGCCTGTGTGCACGTATCATCATCACTGAATGAAATGTACTGATGGGTCCAGGAATTACTCTATGCTAAATCAAATATTTCAAAGATGGAGGAACTCTAACTGCATCTCCTCTGTCTTGCCTCTGACATCGAGGGTGAGATCTTCAAATACAATGACTAAGAAATTTTGTCTGACAAACCACTTACAGAAAAGGAAAAAACCGAACCTTGAAGATCAAAGTATACAAGTGAGTGATTCACCTTTCTCGTAGGCTTGCAAGACACAGGCTAAACACAACACAACATGAGGTGCTTTGAAAAGCTCCACCTGCATTTGATTAGGAGAATTTGCATCAAGTGGCAAGGGGAGGCCACACAACCCTGGCCAACCAAATGCAACTGTCTCCAATAAGCATCCCCCTTTACCAGCTCAAGAGCTTTGTCTATCAAGCTGTGCCACCTGAATGACTACCATCTCTCACCAACTGCAGCAAGCTAAAGTGTTAGCAGGACAGCAAGCAAAACAGAGCACACATTTGTGCTCCCCTGGAATTGAAAACCTGAATGCTGACAAGACTGGGTGGAAAAAACAAAAATCCACCAGCTAGTCTAGTAGGTCAGTGTCTGTGTGCAGAGTCATAGAAAATAGCACATGCTGAAGAAAGAAGCAGCAGTGAGGAGCTGGCAATGTCCAGAGCACAACGCCCGCAGAGGTGATTCTGCTGATGCCAAACCTGATCCCATCCGAGCTTTCCAGCCCCTGCTGAGCCCAGAGCATGTGCCATGAAGCTGGAGCTGGCAGGGGCAATGATGAGCACAGTGAGTGGCCACTAGCCACCTTAAAGCAGCAGCACCACACAGCTTCCTGAGCTAACATTGAGTGGTGACTAGCACACAACTTGCACTTGGTGCTCCCTGTCCCAGCCAGAGCTTGGTCCCCCGGGGCTGTGGCCCTGGTCCCACTCCAAGCAGCACTGGCAGCACCCAGGCCCCCGCAGCAAGCGGGAGGAACAGGGAACAGCCACAAGTCCTGGCTCTGGGGAACTGGCACAACCCTAAGGACACAGCTCCCTGCCAACACTGACTGCACTCCAATTTTAGCAGACTTACAGCTTTCCAGATTTGATGGTGAAGAACTTTGAAACTCGAAGAGCAAAGGAACTTTCCACCCATGTTTATATAAACAGCAGAATAACACCAACAGCCTGAACATACACATGCAGAAACAGGATGAACAAAACCTTCAGATCTCTCAAAATACAGAATGACAACAGAAATGTGATAATTACTATTTTAAGTATGCCTGAATTCTGACCTCTGGTGTTATTAGAAATCATATAATCTATTTTGACTCTATGGTAGCTTATGCAAGGTACGACCACGTCAAAACAACAATCTGTATTTACATGGTATTTACATGACATTTCAAACACAGTTCTGTTTCCCAAATGACTTAGGACAAATTACTACTTTTTCACTAAAGGAGTCAAATCTGATGGTGTTCCTCCTCTGTGATATCACATGGCCTAAACAGAACAAGGATTTTAGGACATCCTGTAGCAGCTCTTGTCATGGCAACAATGGGAAAGTATTTTACTGAACAGAGGCAAAACTAAACCATAGCATTGAACCCAAATAATATTCTCACTGACATAGTAGGAGAAGTCATTGACTTCTTCTTTGAGAGCTACACTACTGGAGGTAAACTGGAGGCTGATTTTTGGACAAAGAAAAGCTGGTAGGGAATACTGGTTCCCAGTTTTCAGCCACCAGCACTGCATGAAATCCAGAGGGCTGTCCACAGAAAATGGTATCTGTAAGTAATTCTTTTATGTTTCTCATCTTCAAAGCATAAAAGGTTGGCTTTCTGGTCACCTCTGCATGTCCTGAGAACAGCTTCTGACAGCTGAAAGTGCTGTCCTAACAGAGCTGTCCTCGTGACAGGCTCTTCACGCTCCTGGCTGACAAGCCCCACAGCCCCTGAGGTCTGGTCTGATGATCCTGCTGCAGGAGACACGCTGGTGGGAAGGAAGGGGGTGGGTGCCAAAGGTCAGTACAAAGCCAGCACCTTCTTTCCCAGGCACCTGGTGCACACATGGAACAGCTGGATCATTCAGATTTCCTAGCATTATGAATCAGCCTGAAGAGGTAATTTTTGACCCTGTCAGAAGTGCACTAATGATCTTCAGGACCAGCTGTGGTGTTGGCACCTTCAAAAGTCTTAACCCTGCCTTGCACAATGCTCTGTCTGACCAACTGCATCTGGACTAGAAACAGCTTTAAGCACATAAAAATTACAACTGGCACCAACACCTAAACTATACCAACTCCTTCCCAGCTGTTATTTTGAAGAGGACACTTCCAGCAGAACAGAGCTGTTTATATATATATATCAACCATTCAGACCTCATTCTGCTTCTCATAGTGTCCAGATCTGCTTGCCACAGAAATCCCTTCTGTCCCACGAACTGCTGCCAGAAAGAGCTGAGAGGCAGGGGGCAACACACAGGCAATTACTACAAACCTGGAACCTTTTCAAGGAGAATGTTTGCTTTTGAATTTTAGGGGATTAAAGTCTTCCATAAACAAGCATGAAAATATTTGTTTGCTTTTGAATTTTAGGGGATTAAAGTCAGTCTTCCATAAACAAGCATGAAAATATCCCAAGGAGAGCTATGTTACTAATGAAGATTTTCTTGCTTCTTGTCAGTTGCTTCAGCCCCTTCTGCTGCCACTGGAGGAGTGTGACGAAGGCCTTTCGGCTGCACAGCTCTGCAGGTGTGATTAAATCTGCCTCTCACTTCCCAGAGGCCCCAAGTGGACTATCATGCCTCAGTTACAGAGATAATTTCTCAGAACGAAAGAGCCAGTAAGAAGTGATTCCTCTGGGCATCTCAACAGCATTAACACAAAATGCAGTAAAAAGCATCAGAGTAGCAGAAAGCAATTTAGTCCTGGTGGAGGCAACTTGTTTGCAATGCATTTCAAACACTTTAACTGAGTGTATCTGCCCAGGTTAAAGTCAGAGACGGTGCAGGCAATGGCTGAGCTGAACCGTCACCACAGGAGAGTGGCACTGGCTGCAAATTAACTGCTTGAGTTCATCTCGTATTTCTCTTTTTGTTCTCATCACAAAACATGGCAGCAGACAACCTGGCATGATTGCTAGACTAATTGGGCAGTGTGAGCTGCAGGTGTGGATGAGATGGCGTGTGCATGCAAGGACACGTTTGACAGCACAACCCTGGCAGGGCAGCAGGGACTGAGTGGGGCAGCCCCGGGGAAGACCTGAGCACAGAAGGAGCAGGTCAGAAGCCCGAGGCATCACTGGGACCTCATGCAGAATGGGAGAGGAGGGAGTTCAGACAACTCAGCTTTGGCATGAGAGGGTGCACCATTTGCTTTGTGAGGCAAGGTACCACATAAGTCCCATGGGCTCTGAAATGCACTCAATTAGCAATTCCTTTTACCTTTTTGTTCTAACCAGCATTTCTTCAAGAGCACTGTCATCTCTGGCTTTGGCATCCTACTCATCATCTATGAATTCATGTTGCTGTTCCTCCCTGAAAGGAAAAAGTTCCATCGTCAGTCATTTGTTACACAGAGAAAAGGACAAATTTCAGAGTATTTTTGCCACTGTTCAAGTTCAAATACCATTGCTCCTCAGCAGACAGCACTGCAAGTTGTGTTCTCTGCTGCAGTGTTATTCATCCAAAATCAATCAGCTTGTGTTGACTCTAGAAACTTACCCTGAATTTACCTGTAAGCAGCTGAAAAGCTGTCATTATCTCAGACCTGCCTGGAAAGAGCAGAACAATGACTCACCCGAGTAAAAAAATTCCCAGCAACAACAGAAGAGACTTGTGCCAAGCAAATATCTTTATTTTATTTTAAAATATTCTGGAAGTGTTGATCTATATGAAAAAGAAGCAAAACAACACTGAGAAAACATGCTTCATGTTAGGGAAGCCTTCATTTCATATCATGTGAGCCAAATTAAAAATAAAACTAAACACAAGTGTACAAAGAGGAGACAAAAAAATCAATTTTCTCAAAGAGATAACATGAGGGACTCCCAGAGGGGCTGGCAAATTCTGGAAGAGAGAAGGAGATTATATTTTATGGGAAGAGATTCAATAACCATTCTTTTCCCATAAAGCTAGTGATGGAGGATTGTCACTGCTCCACAGACACACTGTGCACATTTCAGGACAACAGTTACAGAAAATCAATAGCATCTTTTATACGTGAAAAGACATCATCTCTATGGACTCCTAATACTAACAAATGGGACCAACAAAGACATTCAGTAAAATTTAGCAGTCAGCATTAATCTGGCTGATAAGAGAGGGGCAGTATGCTAGTCTACATCCTTGGTTTTTTTGGTTTGTTTTTTTTTTTAAAGAAATAACTCTGCTCAGAGCTTCACCCTCCACTGAAGCCAAAGAGCCCCCAGATGACACTACATTAAAAGTCTAACAATGTCAAACCCCGGCGCTGTTGCTCCCGGCCCCACTGGCACACATTCCCTCTGGCTGATGGCTGTGATCATTAGGAGGCAGGAGCTTTATCAGGTCGTAATTTGACAGCTTTGACAAGCTTGGCTGAATTTATGGCACTTTCTAGTTTTTCCCTCCATTGAACTGAGATAGAACTAAAGTTAATATTAGCAAAAACACTTTGTGCAGGGGCAATTTTCCAGCAATGACTACATGATTCCAGTTACTAAGAAAATTTGCTAAACAAGGGATTGATCCTCACAGCCCCTTGCCACTCTCACCAGAGAGGGGGAGATGGTTCCCCACCCCATGCACTAGCCTAGATGGAAGATTCAGGAGATGGAAGGTGTCTCTGGCTCTAAAGCAGCAAAAGTGAATCAGTTATGAACATTTCTGCACATGTAGAGGAGTCAGTAGCAGGAATCTTTTCCTTAGCTTAAAAAAACCCACCTTTTAGGTCCAAACCCAATTTTACAGACAAGACTCCCTTTCTGGGTGCAGGCTCAACCTCTTTTAAACTGAGCACAGTCTCTTTTCTGCTTATAGAAAAGCTAGGATATAAAAGCTTAGAGAGAAAACAAGTAGCAATGAGAGTTTTTGTATTTCCATGGATCATATGGACCACTCTAAGAAGGAACCCAACCAATGACGTCTGAGAAGAGACACCAGTAAAAACACTACTAGAACACAGTTTGCAAAAGGAGCAGACTACACACCCTGGGGCAGAAGCTGCAGCACCATGTCTCTGACAGCACACATCCTGAAACACAGGATCTGATTTCTGGAATCTGCTCCTCTCATCACAAAAATCATGTTCCACACAGCACCACGATGCTCCCCTGTGTGGTGAAAGGAACCCATAAGTAGTGACATGGGCAAGAGGAGCACTGCAGCCTGAACCAAAACTTGGCCAGTCAGTAAAGCACAAGCATGTACTTCTCTTTTTTTCCTCTCCAAATTGCTTTTTTGCCACAGATGTTACACTTCCTCTGTTATAATTTAGGGTTTTAAAGAGCTACCTCCACAGATGTAGAAAGCACAGTTCATATTTAGCTCCCTAAAGTAGTATTTCTCTCTTTCTGTATTTCCCTGCCAAGATGTGACATCTGTGGACTCTTCCCAAAAAATTCCCCTGAATCATCTGTGATGCATTCAAAACAGCGGCCAGGGCTGGCAACGAGCAGCTGGGTCTTTTAGGAAAGTGTTAAATCAATCTGGTAAGGGGAAGGATTCCCAGTAACTGCCACTAACATCCCTGAGGACCACACAACCCCCAAATCACATTAGGAAATGAGCACAACTACAACAGGATCAAAATCCATGGGAAGCAGCGTTGCCACAGCAACTGACATCCCCAGAACTCGAGTCTTCTTTGCATTTTTGCACAGGCTCCGTGACACCTAAAACAGGTGGGAAAAACAATTCCAGCAGGTGGGTTCATTCAGGAGCAGCACACTGCCAGGCGATCCCCTCTAAACCAGACTCATTTCCACGTGGTTTCCCAGAAAGTCAGCCTTTGAGAACCTCTTGTTCCAAGCACTGCATCTCACTGACTACAAGCAGAGAGCAACTTCTGTAACACAATCAATACTTCCTTGTTAACTACCCTTGGATCAGAAAAAAAACTCATTAAATATTAAAACATTCCCGTTTTTAAAAAAAATGTTATATGAATATAAAATGTAAGACAGATTAGCCGAGCTTTGGAATGAGAAAACAGTTTCATCTTCACACTGGACTGCAGAGGTGTTAACGAGGGGTCCCTCAAAGCTCCTGGTTGAGGAGAGCAGCACCTTGCAACCACTCCAGCATCCCCTACACAAACATCAAATCCTTGTCACTGGGAACATCCAACCCTGTGTGGTAAAAGCCTTCTTTCTCCTCCTGGCCTCCTTATGACTGTGATAATACCAACAACCCAGCCTCTCTGCCAGCGTGCTTTGTAACGAGACACAGACCAGGAAGCCCTTCTGCTAAAAACTGTCTGCTTCCCACATTCTGGGGGAACTTCCTTCCCTTTCTCTACTGCGTAAGCCCTGTGAGTGCCCTTTCCCGGCTAACTCACCACCAGGACTGCTCTTTGGAGAGCAGCCGCGCACCTGGCGCCAGGTGCTCTGCCCCGCTGGGACGCCAAAGCCGCGCTGCTGACCTGAAGAAAACTGCTTCCGATTTCTGCTGGAGACAAACGAAAACAAAGCCTACCCACGGTTTGCGCCCCGCTAGCCGCTCTGTGCCAGCGTTTTAGCACTGCTGAGCGTATCTTGTCCTCGTCTTTATCTTCTGCTC